AAATGGTTAGGATAGATATATAGTTACATTCTCTTAATGAATAGAGGGATTTGTTCTAATAGTGTTTGTAAATAGGATATCATGTCTGCATCTTGTACAACAAATAACCACTAGGAAGAATATATGCAATGTGTTAATTATTGAAACTGTCCTACCAATTTGGTTTGAAACTGTCTCAGTGCTATTTGTTTCTCAATAAAATTATGGAAAAAAAACAAAAACAAAGTGAGCTCAAAGTCAGCCTGAACTTTGTAGTGAGACCCTGTCTCAAAAAAGACAGAGACAGACAGAAAAGCAAGCAAGCAGAAAACTCCTGAGATAACAATGCCTGTGTCTTATGTCTTCACTTTTGCGCTGCTCTGTGTCGGGTGGTGACACCTGCTCCCTGCTCTAGCACAGGATACCACTTGCACCTCTGGGGTCTGTGCACCAGCTAAGGAGGGAGGCACTGCGGTGTCCTATGTGGTCTCAGACACCCACACGGGGCTAGTGACTCGTATACCTGCAGGATGACCAAGGTGGCCCTGGCGTCTGGAGAACCTGCAGCCCACCCAGGCCATATATGGCGGGGACACTGCTGGCCTCAGCTCAGCACCCATCACCCTCCTCCGCACCCCGTACAATTGCTGCCCCTTGATAGAGTGGACACAGAGCCCGTGGCGCTTCTGGGACCTCCTCCTCGCCACTCTCTGCTATCCCTGCCAGTCTCTGCCATCCCCACCCAGTCTTGGTGACAGTGACAAACCCCAGTCCTATTTCTGCTGAGTCACTGCTGCCCCATCTGCTGCCCATGGTATCAGAAGCTATGGGACTCAGTGTCCCCCATCTGGTAACCACTGGCAGCATGCCAAAGACAGCGTTCCTGGGGCTACAGATGGGGACCCTGGCCCAGACAGGCCGTGTGGAGCACAGGACACCAGGCCCAGCACATAGCTTGGGTGGGCAGGAGAGCCAGGTGGAGGCAAGAAGCAGGGTACTTTACAGCTGGCCTCAAAACAGGAAGTAACGTCAAAAGGCCCTGAGGCTGGAGGCCGAGCATAAGCCTCGCCTTAGCCAGGCTGGGCCGGGCCCTGACTGCGTAGACGTGCACTATGGCTGGGGGAGGGGAACCATGCACTGTAGCAAGCTGGACAGGGCCCCCAGACCAGGAAAGGAGCAGCCATGGGCACAGACAGGACATTCCTGCCTCCTGGGGTCACCTTGTTGCTACATAGGGGATGGGATGATAGCACAGCAGCAAGGCAGGAGAAGGGCTGGGGCTGGCCTGTTCGGCTGCAGCCTGCACCTCCCAGGGTCCCTTGCCCATCGCCAACCTAGAGCAGCTCTCCTGACCATGGCCTCAGCCAATCACAGACAGCTGTGTCCCTGAGTCCCCTGGCCAAAAGAATCGGGTCCGCAGGTCACCAGCAAGCCACTCCGTCACCTCAGGACCTCACCTCATAGACGTAAGGCACCTCCCTCGAGGACCCGGGCTCCATGAGGGGCCAGGGTCACTGGGGGCCACACAGCAGCCCGGGGCACACACCAAAGCACTGACTGCCAGGGGTAGCAAGCAGGGGCTCCTAGGGATCCTGCTGTGTCCTGCCCTCCGGGACACCTGGCTGAAGCCATCCCCAGCCCCAGGTGGCAGGCAGGCCCCTCACCACTCTTCTGTGCCAAGGCCTGGTCGATGAAGTCCGAGGCCCTCTCAAAGTAGGCGCTGAGGTTGAACTCCTGCGTGTCATTGGCCTTGATGCCCAGGTAGGTGATGCCCGAGTCCTGGTAGAAGTTGGCATTGGTGTTGACATGCATGAAGGACCGGCCCTCAGCCGCATTCAGGACGTGGGTGATGCCCAGCTTCTGCAGTGCAGCGATGTCCTGAGCCACTGACCTGGTGGGAGACGCAGCGGGGCTGAGACGGCAGCAGCCCCTGGAGGCCAGGGAGGCACAGCCAGGGAGCTGAAGCCCTTCCTGCACACCGTGACCTCTCGCTCTGCCATATCCGGTTACCACAGCATCCACAAATAGACTGGTGGCTTCACACCACGGCGTCCCCTCCAGCAGTGCTTCAGACATGCACCCCCTGCCAGCGCACCAAGCAGGGAGGCTGGGTCTTGCCAGTCAAGCTCCCCTCCCGTCTCTGCCTCGGCTTCCCTCTCTGTCAGTGACAAGACAACAGTGCCTACTGCCTGGAGTGCTGAGTGTGCGGTGAGCCCTTGGTGACAGTTCAGCTCCCTGCAGAGACACATGGCGGGAGTTGTTGGAGGTGCAGGCAGCCAGCTCTTGGCCTGGCCCCATCCCAGGCAGCATTTGGCACAAACATGGGTGACTGAATCGTCACCTGCCAGGGGGCCCCTCCCTGTCCTGAGAGACCCACCAGACATGCTGATGGAACACTTCTGGGGGCACTGGTACTTGGGGGACAATAGCCCCAAACTACTTCACCTGAATGGCCAGGGTGCCCCCTTATTTTGTTTCCAACAACAAAGAACCCCACCTTGGTCTGTGCTTTACAAGGGCACCTCCTACCTGATGGCATCTGCCTGTCCACACAGCACCCTGGGAGGAAGGGACAGGGCAGCAACATCGCTGTCCCTGTGACTAGCTGCCCGTGAATCAAGGTCAGACCTGCTCAAAGGTCAGGGAGGTCTTTCTCTTTCCAGCCCTGGGGAAGAACCCAGGGCCTTGTTCAGGCCAAGCACCAGCCAATCACCCCTGAGCTTTATTTTAGTCTGAGACAAGGTCTCAGTTGCCTATGTGGACCTTGGGGTTCCTGAACTTGTAATCCTCCTGTCTCAGACTTCCAAGCAGCCGGGACTGCAGGGCCACCAGCGTGCCCGGTGGAGGGATGTGTCTGCCATCCTTGGTGGTCACACTTGCGGACTGGCTGCCACCTGGCATTGCCAACTTTGGCTGACTTAACGCAGGGTGAGAGGTGAGGCGGATGCTCTCCCTGCTGGGGACCCGGCAGAAGAAAAGACAGCCACCCCCACGGTCCCCTCCTCCAGCGCCAGCTCGTCAGCCCACGCGCCCCTGTCGTGACCATGCTGTGAGCGAGCGTGGGCCGGTCCCTGGCACAGCGATGGTGCAGGCGTTTGAGTGGGGCTGGGGCCGGGCGCTTCCTGCTGAGCGGTGGAGGGCACGGACCGGACCTCGGCCCCGCCCTCACGATCCGACCCTCCGCAACCTTCGCTCCAAAGTCAGTGAGAAGAGGGCGCCGGCAGGTCTGGAGGCCGGCGCTGGGCTCCAGGCTGGTATGGGCCGCCCGAGCTGGTTGCAGGGCACCCTAACTAGGCTCTCACCGCTCGGGAAAAGCAAGGCTGGGGAATTCTCACTAGTAGTTTGAATACAGAAAAACGAAGTCAACTTGCTAAGAGCTCATGGGTGATCAGCAAGAAAAGCAATTCCTGCTGGTGGGACGTGTGGAGCATTTTTCAGGTGGCAGTAGGGTCTCTATGGGGAGCCCCATTGATCTGTCCCACGCACAGCCACCACATCTGGAGTGGGACACGGACTCCGCATCCCACTTGGGGGTCTCTGAACACCTAGCCCGGCCGGAAGGGACCACGCCCGGATCATGACGTCAGCACGTTGCCATGCCAACGAGGGCAGACCTTCGGCGGCGAGGAGGCTGCAGAGCCCGGCAGCTGTCGCAAGGCGCGCGGGTCGGACACTGGCCGGTGACACCGGGCCACCTGTTACGGAGGGTGGGGGCCTGGACTCCGGCCCAGGATGAACTTCAGGCCCCCAGGGCCCTGGGACCCCGTCAGCGAGAGACCCCAGGGCAGAGGACCTAGCGCCCGCCCCGCCCTCCCGCCCGCCGGCGACTCACGCGTTGCCCACGTAGACGCGCGGCGCGACCTCGTTGCACGGCTGGCTCGGGAGGCTGTAGCAGCCGCTGCCATCCGACAGCAGGTCGTTGAGATCCTGCACCGAGAGCTCGAACGGGCCCGACATGGCGGCGCGGCCTGTGCCGGGCAGAGCCGGACAGCGGCGGGCGGGGACGGCGGCGGGCGGGGCGGGAGCTGGGGCCGGGGCGGCCGCGCCCCGCCCTCCTGACTCCGCCCCTTGTCCCGCTCCGCCCTCCCGACTCCGCCCCTTGCCCCGCCCCGCCCCACTCTCCTGACTCCGCCCCTTACCCGACTCAGACCCGCCCTTCTGCTGGCCCCGCCCCTCGTCCGCTCAGCCCCGCCCCGCCATTAGCCCCGCCTTCCCCGAGCCTAGCCCGCACCGGCCCCAGCCTCGCCGCCGGCCTCTGGTCCGGCCCCGCCTACACTTATCCTCGCCTCCGCGGGCCGCGTCCCGCCTCCAGGCCCGCCCAGGCCGCGTGGCGACGCGAGGCCAGCGGGCTCCTCTGCTCTCCGCAGGACCCTAGGGCGTGCGCCGGGTGGAAGTGCCGCCCTCTAGAGGCTGGGGGAGCTAGGTTCTGGACTGTAGTCCGAGACGGACGGGCTCTCAGGGCGGGGCCCCGTCCCTGTCCCTGTCCCTGTGGGCCGGCCGCACCCCGCCGCCTTCCAGGTCCCAGCCTGGGCCGCTGGCTCGGTTCCGAGCCGGAGCCCGCACTTCGGGCGCATCTGCTGAAGGGGAGGGGAGTGCAGACGCGCCGCCGGGCGCCCTTCCCCGGGCTCGGTGACCGCAGGGCGACCTCCGGGAGTGGACACGGGAGGCCAGAGCGCGCCCTCGAGCCCCGCGCCCCACCGTCCCCACGGAAGGTAAAGTGCGCCGGGTCCGAGGCCCTCCCAAGCGGTTCTGGCTCCACGGGCGCCCCTCGGGACGCCCCACGCAGGTGGCATCGGCCAGCCCCGGATGTGCCCAGCCCAGCCGGGGTCAGCCAGCGCCCCTCGTGCAGGAGAAACCGGTGCCCCTTCCCAGGAGGCGCAGCCAGCCACTTCTTGCCAAGTCCTCTACATGGGGACCTACTTTAGCAGAAAACGAACCTGTAATCCCAGCACTTGGGAGGCTGAGGCAGAACCGTGCCATGTTTAAGGCCACCTGAGCTGCACAGTAGAACCGGGCGGGCCTCAAAAAATCAAGAAAAGAAAGGCATTTCTGTCTCAAGAGGCAGAAACACTGATTACCCTGACTTGATTGCAGTGTTGTGTACCTGGGTCAGCTTAGCACCCTGCACCCCAAAAGTTTTATGTTGGTTTAAAAAATAGCCAGGAGGGCTGGGAAGATGGCCCAGTAGAATAAGCGCTTGCCTGGCAAGCACAAGGACCTGAGTTCAATCCCCAGTTCTAAAAAAAAAAAAGAAAGATAGATAGAAAACAGCCAGACATTGTGGAGTGTGCCTGTCATGCCAACACTTAGGAGGCTGAGGCAGGAGGATCAGTTTGAGTTAATTTGAGGCCAGCCTGGACTACATAGTGAGAATGCTTCAAGAAAAAGAAGTAATAATAAAATCTGAGACAGCCCAGCACGCGCTCCTCCAGCCTCCTTGCAAGCTGCCTGATGTCACACTGGCTAACTGTGACAGCCCCCCCTGGGCGCAGCTCAGCAGCTCAGAGCCACTGGCTGCCTCATTCTGCAGGGACCCGAGGAGAAGAAGATGAACAGCTCCCTAGCCTACCTGGCCTACCCTGTGATCGTCTCTAACCACAGGCAGGCCACCGCCTTCAGGAAGAAGCTGGACCTGGGCCACTACCTCTCACACCAGAACCGGCTGCAGACAGGTGCAGGCAGGGCAGGGAACCTGTGGCCCGGCCTCCGGAGGGGACAAAGAGGCACCGCAGCAGAGTTGGCTGGGGCTAGCTCCTGCTCGGGGGCAGCTTGGCCCGCCCTGCCGGGTGCTGCGGGGAGGACAGTGGCGTGCATGGACCCCGGGGCTTGTCCCGGACGCCACTCGGCTGGAACTCGGAGAAGGACTCAGTGCTAGACATGGGCTGGTAGCATGGGGGTGTCCATGGGCTGGTAGCATGGGGGTGTCCATGGGCTGGTAGCATGGGGGTGTCCATGGGCTGGTAGCATGGGGGTGTCGGACAGCAGCGTGGCCTGGCTGTGAGGACGCTGCTGTCTCTAAGTCCCGGACTCTTGCCTTCCTTTCATCTCTGCTCAAACACCAGAGATGTCAGTCTTGGGGAATGAGCCAGACTGAGAGGGCAGGCAGGGCCTGGAGCCGAGAGCAAAACCCTTGGGGTGAGGCTGGGCGTGGTGGCTCACACCTGTAATCCCAGCTCTCAGGAGGCTGAGGCAGGAGGACTCTTTCGAGTTTGAGACCATCCCCCCACACACACCCCCTTTTCGGTAAGTAAGGCCCTGGTCCCTGGGCTATGACACTGTTCTTCCTGCTGTCCCCTCCAGCAAAGCCCACCGTGGACACCAAGCCTCCCGTGGCGCACACACATCTCATTTTAAAGCTGAGCAAACTGCAGGTATCCTCCATGCCCTCTGGGGGTGGGTGCAGCTGGTTGGTCCTTATGTTTGTTTTAAAGATACACACACACTCTCTCACACACACACACACACCCTTCAGAGCTCCTGCCGACCGAGGCACCTCCCCTGCACTCGCCGTCTCCCTGGGGTGGTCCACAGTCTCCTTCCCACAGTGCCACAAGACAGGGGCCCAGGCCAAGCCCTGTGCGTCACCGTGGTGGGCCGGGGCCTCTTTACAGTGGGAGCAAAAGAGAATCGACCAGATCGAGTATGAGAACAGGCAGCTGTGTGAGAAGATCGCCAGCGCACACCGCGGCCCTGCGAAGGTGGACTGCTGGAACTCGTACTTCTCCAAGAGGTAGTGCCACACCTGCCAGGCTCCTGGCGGGGTCCTCGGGAGAGGGGTCCTCCAAGCTGTCCTGGAGGCCATGCTAGGGAGGAGGCAGGGGTGGCGGCACCGGCGAGGTGGTTGGGTCGCCGCCGCGTGACTGAGATTGCGTGGCGAGACAGGCCAGGGGCCACTCTGACTTCTCGGATGAGAGCTTGGGTCCGCTTGGGGTAAACTCGTCATCCGCCCAAGCCCGTGCTGTTCATGTTACCACCCTGCGGTCAGGATTGTAGAAGTCAGCCGCAGCCCCTGCTGAGGCAGGGGTGAGGCCGTGTAAACCAGGTCCACACCTGTGTCCTGGGTGCTGCCGGTCCCACGCACCACGAAGAGAGAGATGAAATGATGCATATTTTTGCTGGTGTGGGGCCGTACACCTGTCATCCCAGTGCTCTGGAGGCTGAGGCGTTAGGATCACCTCAGACTCGGGGCCAACCATGGTGAATCTCAAGACTGGTAGTAAAAGAGAATCAGATGAACCGGAACTTGCGACCTCCCGCTTGTGTCAGCCGTCGGAGCCCATCCCCGCTGGTGCTGGTTTCTGAGCGCTTGGACAGAACACCCAGGCCTGAGATTCATCTGACCCACAGAGCTGCATCTTTGGGCAGGCAGTGGGTTGGTGGCCCAGGGTGGCCCTCCACACACTCAAGCGCAGTGCAGTCAGACGGTCCGGCACTGCCTGCGTGCGGGAGAAGCGCTGTCTCCACCCACCCTGTCTGGTGTTTTTCAGTTTGAACAGAGAAATGCGGAACCGAGAGCTCATGCGCATCACCCTGGAAAACCAGGCCATCCTGAGGCGGCTGGACGACCGCAAGACTCACTACGACCGCAGGGCATCTGAGATAGACTGGCAGGCATGTGGCGCTCTTAGGTCCTTGGGTGCACAGCGGGCCCTCTCGGCCCAAGGAGCCTCAGCGGGACCCAGTGGTGATGGTAGGAAATGAATGCAAGCCTTGCTAGGAAAACTGCAAGGCCTCCTGGGAAAGCCAGTTGCGATAGGCAGAGCCGGGGTGCAAAGGCCAGACAGCCCGGCGTCTCCATAGCACCGATGTGTGTCAGTGCTGGGTACACTTGGTGGCATCTCCACACCCCCTCCTGCAGCAAGACAGGCAAAGTGGGGAAGGACCAAGGCTGTGTGACTCTGGTCTCAGCTGGCAGGCTCCACTCGGGCACCATCCCCCATGAGGCATAGCTGTGGTCTGTGGCTTTCCTGGTGGTTCTGCTTTGTGTGGTCCTGGACCTTGAACTCAAGGCCTCCTGCAGGCTGAGGAAACGCTCTAACCACTGAGCTGAAGCCCAGACCCCCACTCTCTACATTTGCTCAGCCTGAGCACTAAGCAGTCCAGGATGGCTTTAAACTTGTAATTCTCCTGCCTCAGCCTCCTGAGTAGCTGGGTGGAGAGTTATGGGCCTCCTTGCCTGGCCTCTGCAGTGATA